GAACATCAAGGATAAAGAAAGAATTCCTCAGATATTGAAGCAAAACAGCAAATCACATCCAAGCAGGGGGAAAAACGATCCCACCTCAGAATTCTCTACAACACTCAATTCTGCAAGACAATGAAGCAGTGTCCATAAAGGGCTGAGAAAAATGAAATTTAATTTTTAAATATTATAACTACTTAAGATGTCATTCAAGCATAAGAACACTGAGAGACATTCACTAGCACAAAAGAACTCAGGAAATGCAATATGTATGATTTCTTCTCGAGGAAGAAAAATTTGCTTGACAGTAACATCCACCCAAATAAAAGATGATTGAAAATAAACTTGAGAATGGCAAAGCTAGATTAGAGGGACTGGTGGTGAACACAAATCTGTTTAAATATAGAATGAATAGAAGACAACTAATGAAAGTACAGTAGCAAAAATAATTTTGAATGTTATAAACCTGAATAATGTTAAAATAATAATATAACTATAAAAATTGGGAGGTGGGGAGTAAGGAAGATGGGAGGAGGTTTGAGTGCTAATGTCCTCATCTTTCAAAACAGGAGATAAGTAGATACTCTCCAAACATCTATTTTTTAAACTGTTACATACTAGTCTCTTAATGTTTATCTCCAAATCTTGTTTTATAACATTAATGGGTTATTTTATGGAAAAAGTATCTTGTGGTAAAGAAACATTTTTCACTTTTATTTTGTTTTTCTTCTACTAAAGTCAAATAAAATATAAGCAACCATCTTTTATTAAACATACTTCCTAGGATCTCATCCTACTTTCATAACTTTTATTTATCTGTGACTATTGCTATAGTCTTCAACATATAATATGCATAGAACTATATTCAAAATAATGTTAAGGGTGGCAATTTCTGAGTTTGTGGTAATTTTTTAAAAATACATTATTGTATTTTTCTGCATTGCTTTATTTTTTATAAAGAGTAGGTCTTGTTTTACAAAAAGAAAAATATCAGGTGTTTTTTTTTTCCCTTTAAAAATTGTAGGCAGTATATCAAGATGTTAACTGTGGTTTATTCTGGGTTATGAGAAAATGGATGATAGTATTTTTTCTTTGTGCTTTCTTGCATGTTTTTAATCTACAAACATAAAATATGATTTATTAACTATTTACTTTTTCACCATTCTACTTCTCATACATATGTATTTTACTGATATGTATATTTTCATAAATTCAATGTTTTGGGAAACAAAACAAATAAAGAATAGAAATATCCCAAATAAAAGAACTAAAGAATATAAGTTGTCCAGACCCTGCAATGTTCAAGGAGAAAGAGTGTCAGTAAGTGCATGACCTTACTAGGAGCACTAAGTTAGCAATTGACAAATGACATGGGAAAAGTGGGAAACATTTTCTTTGATCAATTTTTTTTTTTTTTTTTTTTTGCGGTATGCGGGCCTCTCACTGTTGTGGCCTCTCCCGCTGCGGAGCACAGGCTCCGGACGTGCAGGCTCAGCGGCCATGGCTCACGGGCCCAGCCACTCCGCGGCATGCTGGATCTTCCCCGACCGGGGCACGAACCCGTGTCCCCTGCATCAGCAGGCGGATTCTCAACCACTGCGCCACCAGGGAAGCCCCTGATCAATTTTTTATCTCGTTGTTTATGACTCAGTTCTATAAAACAGCCTTTGTTTTATGTACTGTGGCACATTTACAACATATAGCATCTGAACAGAGTTATGCACCTGGTTACATTGAGCTAGCAGGGAAGAATTTGTGAAATAGCTGTCTTTATTGTTACTTCATAAACCACATCAGCAACTAAGAAAATAAATTAGTCTAAAATGCCCCACTTTGGGTATGGAATTTTACAAGGTGGAGAGGGATATGAATACATATTTGCTTAAAATATAATAACAAAAATAAAATAATAATAAAAGGATAAACTAAACCTAAAAGAGATAGTTACTAGAAGGAAGAGGATAGTGGGACAGGGATTGAAAGTATACTTCTTTGAATACATTATGTTTCAAATATTTGAGTTTGGAACTATGTGTTTTATACAATTCTAATAAAAGCAATTCCTAAAACTCAAAAGCAAAGTGAGCAAATGAACCTATGTGTATTATAGTTGATAGCATAGCCATATAGAGAACTTTTAAAATGACTTTAAAACATAGTAACTTGACTGAACATACCTTGTGTGATATATCTTAAAGATTTTTTTAAAATGCAAAAAAAAGCCCTTAGTCTGTTTCTAATAATCATATTGTTGATCATATTGGCATTGTGCATTGGGATAAAGCAAATGAGTAACAATGTTGATGTCAGTGGGAACTGATATTCTGGCATTGAAGAGAAGATGCAAAACAGAAGAGGTTAGAGAAAGACCCTATAGTATCCTGATTTGAACAGAAAGTTGTCACGATATATTCATGATTTTAAACACACACATACACACATTTTCAGCTCTATTCATTGAAAAAGTCTTGAAACAATGAAGAACTCTGTAGTAGTGTGCACCCATAATACCCAGATTATGGTGTCTAATTATCATTTCTAATTCAAAAGAAACAAGAGCTCCTTAAATACAAATTGCAGGTTTGAGGCAGGAAATACGCAACTTAAACCTAGAATATCTTGTCTTACCAAAATCAAGAAAGCCCTTAAAGCCTATTTAAGGCATATCAGATATCTCAGGAGTCAATTTGAAAAGTCACTTTCTGGTCACCTTTCTTCTTCTGGCCAAGAAATGGGATAATCTGAGCACCGATTAGAAGGAGGCCTGATTCTATCTTTCTTTGAAGAAATGAGATACTTCAATTGTGTTTAAATCCATGAAGTCATAATAATCCTAAATGGGGTGGGGGCATATTTGAATGTATTAATTTACCAACCCATTTTTTAAATTGGTGAAGGGAATTAATCAAGCACTTATCCCATCTTTCCTAGGTTAGCCATGTCTTAGAGTAACTACATAGTTGTTGAGAAAAAATTTTTCTCTTTATATGGAAGGAATAGGCCAGCTAATAAATAAAAAAATAAATGATAAAATCATAATAACACTATTTTGAAAGTACTAATAAGTCAATGGATCTAAAATGATCAGCAACAGCTGCTAACTCTCAAAAGGAGAAACAACCAGCTATCACGTGCTTCCTAACAACACATGCAAAGTAACTTTGTCAGAAAAACCGAACCAACATGTGATTAAACTTCTAGATACAGCTACCAAGTAATCGGAAATAGAACAGAGGAACAAGTTAGAAGAAACCTCTAGGTTTAATCAGCAAACTCCAGAACATAGTACAGTTTACTGAGCAGTTTTATTCATAAAGAGAGAGAGAGAGAGAGAGAGAGAGGGAACTATAGATTAGGGAGGATTTAAGAGATATACAAACCAATTGCAATTTATGAACTTCATTACAATTCTGATTTCAACTAGTAAACTGTATGGGGGTGGGGCTTACGAACCAATGAGGAATATTTGAACACTGACTGGATATTAACGTAAGGAATTATTTTATGTTGTTTTTAGGTGGAACAACAGCATCGTTCTGTTTTTATTTTTTATCCTTTCTATAAACATGCTGAAATATTTACAGTTGAAATTATGTCTGAGATTTGCTTTGAAATAATCTGAGTGGTGGGGAAATAGGAAGGGTTTGTAAGTGAAACTTGCAAATCGTTTCAAGTGGATGATTCTCTCTCCTTTTGTATATGTTTATAATTTCCCATATAAAAACAAAGAATATAACGCCTTGCATTGTGAGGCTAGGCCTAAAGAAATGAGATAGACACATGGGAATTTCAAAAGTCAGGGTTATTTAAGAAAGAACAACAAGTATTAGAAGAAAAAATACTGGTTTATATGAATTGCAATAAATTGTTTCCTTTATGCACTATACTAAGAACATCAGAATTAACTGGAAAGTATAGTTCTTACTAAGGAAAGAGGAGAAAACAACTCCACCCCAGATACAACAGTCATTTAGTCTACAGGGCAAACCATGGGCTCATGGAAAGCTGTGATATCTATACAGATGTTATTTGTCAAATAGTTTCATATTGATAATGACTGCCCAATTAACATCTTCGCTACACTTACTTTCATATAGAGGAGAAATCTATGAAGGATCTTAAGAGTCCTTTAGTGACAACCAGGAAGGATCCTGTACACCTCTGGCGCGTTTCTTAGTCTTCAGTGAGAAATGGTAGGAGAGAAGCGAAAACGTACCCCTGCTCCAGCATGTAGCTAGCTAGCTTGGAACAAAAGATATCCTAGAATGGCACTGATATAAAAGTTCTACGTGCAATGCCAGGTTTAAATTCCCCTGTCTCCAAAACGTAAAATAATTCTGCTGCCATCGTCTGAAATCCTATAGGACTGAAAAATCCTTTCGTATTACTGAAGAAACGCCAGTATTCTAGCTAATTTGGGAGAAGGATGTTCTGCTCGTAGAAAGATGCTATTGATATATCTCAGAAACACTTGACACTCTGCAGATGGAAATAGGGGGGAAATGTCTCCCTACCCCCCCCATTTGAAGTTCTCCTTTCTTATCTCTTTCTGATTTTCGACAACAATATCTTAATACCCGAAGTTATTTGGCCATCCTTGGAAGTGCAACTTACCCTCTCAAGGGACTTAAAAGTTGCCTAAGTCTGAGGAATGAGTCACTTTGTTCAATATTGATGAGTAATCTCAGGTGTCATGGAACCCCATTCTGAAGAAAAAGAGGGGAGGGGGCGTCAGATCTGCAAACGGAAGAAGACAGGCCGCTGCGGATTGGATGGCGAGATCTCGATTTTCCTATAATTGCGTCATTTCGAACCCAATTGGGTCCAGATGTTATGCGCACCGACGGATTGCCGTCTCGGAAACTCTCAATCAGACGCAAGCGAAAGGAGAGGAGGCGGCTAATTAAATATTGAGCAGAAAGTCGCGTGGGGAGCGTGTCACGTGGGTCTCGAGGCTCAGCGAACCTGGGATAAATACCGCGCTGCAGCCAGCAGGCAAAAGCGCGAGCTGCTGCGACAGAGAGTGCCGAGCGCCCAGCGAGCGCTCCGACCCGCCGAGGAACCCCAAGGGCTGGTCAGCCGCAGTAAGTGCCTGCGCCCTGCTGGGTGGGCTTTCCGCACCGCGCACCGCTCCGAGGCGGCGTCTAGCAGGGCTGGATGGGCCGCTGCAGCGAGGGAGTGCGGGGAGAGAGCTGAGGGACCGCGGGGGGACTGCGGGGAGACGGCAGGGAGACGGCGGCGAGAAGGGTATCCCAAGTGCCTTGTCCCTCTTTGTCTTCCACCCGCACAGCCTCCTGGCTTGAAGGTGTGGATTGGTGGGTTGGGGATTGGGGGAGCTGGGATCTAGGAAGAATAGGATTTGAGAAACTTTAGGGCTTGATTCTCTTTCCTAAAGGGTACCGACAGGACTTTAGCCCTTAGGCGGTTTATCTTGTTTCAATCGACCTTGAGTTCCGTTGTGGGATCGAAAATTCTGCTGTCTCAACTCTTGGATAGAAACCCTCAATACATCTATATATTTTTCTCTCCTCTGCCTCTTCTCCCCACTCTTCCCAGAAATCCGACATGAAAATCCTCGTGGCCTTGGCAGTCTTTTTTCTCGCCTCCACTCAACTGTTTGCAGAAGAAATTGGAGCCAACGATGATCTGAATTATTGGTCTGACTGGTCCGACAGAGACCAGATCAAGGTGAGACTCGGTCCCAAGATGGCCCGCGCCGTTCTTCATGGGCTTAGGAGGTGTCACTTACCCCCCGCGATAGCATCCTAGTTACCCTAGCGGGCACCGGGACCGCAACCAGAGGCGGTGGAGGCGCGCCGGGAGGGATGTAGAGGAACGCCATCCCCTGGGTCCCACACGAGATTTTGCATCCAAGAACCAAGTTTCCTCCCGAGGGCTGCATCGTCGGGTCTCGGGAACTCTCTGGAGGAATAATACCCTCCCAGGTGATCCCGGAATCCTCACAAGACTGGAAACCTCACAAGGTTTCATCCCCTGCTAACGCGGATTTCGGAGACTCAGGTCCAGCTGCAAGGACCTGGCATTTGGAAATGCTGGGGCAGGGGCAGAGGAGTGCGCGCCCGACGCAGGCAAAAGCAGGGGCAAGTGGCGAGGTGCTGAGGGCTTGGAGGGTCGCAGGTGGGTAGGAGGCTAACTTCCTGCCATGACTTTTATTTTACGGACCTGGAGACGTAGCCGCAAGTTTTCCTTTAGATTGCTCGCAGGCTATTCGCGCAAGAGAGCGCGCCCCGCCGGAACAGTGAAAGTCGCGCACTGTTAGTTGCTTGTAAAGGGCTGTCACCTTCCCTACCCTCCCCCCGCCATTCCCCCACACACACCTGTGCGCATTTAGGGCGGTGAGAAGCCTCCAAAGCCCGAGCTAGAGATGAACAAAGTCCGGTAGCTGAGCGGCAGATGAGTGAGGGTCCCCGGGATGGGAGGAAAGAGGGGAAAGCGAGCAGGGCTTGGAGACGACGAGCCTCCAGCTAACTGGTTAGGGCTAGGCTTCGGGGAGGCGGCGGCGCCGGACGCGAATTGGGCGGGGAGGAGTGGAGAGAGGCAACGCCCAGGTGTGGGGAGGCCCGGCCTCCTCACGCCTCGGAGCTGGTTCCCCAACCCAGGCTTGGCCTGTCCCCACCGCCAAGATTTGCCCCAGGCTGGAGCTCACCACCAGAATGACTCTAGTTTGCCGGCGCCTTGCACTGGTTGCCTACACGCCCCTGTCGGTGCGTCTGTCCTCTAGGAGGAGCTGCCCGAGCCCTTTGAGCATCTTCTGCAGAGAATCGCCCGCAGACCCAAGCCTCAGCAGTTCTTCGGATTAATGGGCAAACGGGATGCTGGTGAGATGGGCAGCCATCACCCTCTCTGTCTCTCTGGGCACCGCCCCCACCCCGCCACTCCCACCCCGGAATCCTAGCTCATGCTCAGAGCACGCAGTCTCTCTTGATCTATGAGCAGAGATTTCCACCCTAAAATGGGTATATCTCCCGGAGCGCGACTCTGGCCCTCACCCCGCTAACACACACATACCACGGAGGGAGGGAGAGATCGGTCCAAACCACCAAGAACAGGAACCAACCTTAAGCTAAGTGCTTCCTTGACTAAGGATCCAAACTGACAAAGAACAGGAAGGCACTGGGCCTCCAGGGGATATCAGAATGTTCTCAGTCCCTGTGGAAAACTGACTTTAGACCACTGGGGTTAGATTAGATTTAGCTGCCAGTGTCTCATGATAGAAATATTTCCTTTTCTTGAATTCTCACACCATCAGTGGAACGTGTAAACAGTTAATGTCAATTCGTCTCTTGTCAGATTCCTCAATTGAAAAACAGGTGGCCCTGTTACAGGCTCTTTATGGTAAACATTTCTATAAATCTTTATTTTACTCTTGTGAAAGCACATGTATGAAAATGGAGAATGTCTTTTGTGGGCTGAAATACAGATTCTTGGTTGACTATTGAATAAAGAGATGGGTTTGCTCTCTCTCTCTCTCTCTCTCTCTCTCTCTCTCTCAAGCATCAAAGCTGACCGGCCTTGAAGATGTATCTCTTATAAGAAAACAACAGAGGTGGTACGGCCAGTCAGTTCAGGCCTCAGGAGTCTCACAGACCTGAGTTTGAATCTGTGGCCCACATAAATCACTTAAAAGTATTCCTTTTGTTTAAAATATTTTGTTTTTATTATTAATAATTTGGATAGCATTTATGATTCTGCTATATTCCTCAGGATAGTACATGAATGGAAAATGTTGCATTATTTTAAAAATCTATTTTATAATTCTCTTTAAAAGATATAGCTCCTTTAAAACAAATCTATTGTGTTTGTTAATTTTATTTTTCTTTCTATAGGACATGGCCAGCTCTCTCATAAAAGTAAGTTCCAAATTATTTTGACATTTATCATATGCAAATGTAAATTAGATTGAATTCCACTTTACATAATAACTTATTTTCTGTTGTAATGTAGAACTTAATATTTTTAATTAACACAATTTAAGAATGGAGCAGACTCATATTACATCCAGAACATGAATGTTTAAAGCTCTGTTGTTTAAACATATCATACTTACCAAAAGGATGCATTATATTAAAAATCCTTTAACTCCCAGCTGAACTGTCGCTGAATTCCTGACCCACAGAAACTGAGATAATAAATAAAGAAAGGAAGGAGAGGAAGGAAGGAAGGAAGGAAAGAAGGGAGGGAGGGAGGAAGGAATCCTTTAACTCCTGTAAATTGTTAGTTTAAGATAAGAATTTCAATCCTAGGGGTAAAAATCCACCACACATTCCTCTCCCCTCATCCCCACCCCACCACTTCCACTGAAAAAAACAAAAGCAAAAACAAAAATCCAAGCAGTTATAGGCATCTCCTAGTTCATTTTAGTATGCTGGATTCCATGATGATCATTTATTAGAGTAATCCAGCAGCCAATTAAGAGGATGGAGTGAATGTCTGAGAGTCCATACTAAAGGTAAATATAGATAAAGTTGTAGAAAGTACCAGGGGTCCATCGTAATCACACTCACTTATCCCAAGGTCCACTCACTTACTCCAACTTGGGTTTTGATTCACTGGAATCAGAGTAGAGGCCACACTAAGATAGCAGCCGTGTTCTTAGCTAATATAGTATAAACCAAGAGACATCCTCCCACTAGAGTTAAAATAATAATCCTTTCCAAAGGCTTCATCTTTGAAAATAAATAAATCTTATTCATATTTATTTTCTCAGGACTTGACTTTCAAGGGAATTATATATAGCAAAATTCCATGTAATGAAAATAAATGTACTTTATTAATGTCAAAACTAACGTACTTTTTCCAAAAGAAATATTTTTTAAAATCCAACAAAATAGCACTAGTGAACTTTAGAAGTTTATAATCATCAGGTATAGGAATCTGATTTAACTAAGCTTCAGTTTCCTGAGAAATACAACATATTCAGTAATATGAGGAAATAAGCTTTGATGTTTCTGTCACACAAATGTGAAATTGACTCCCTAAACATCAAAGCTAGCTCAAATAGCAATATTTAAAACATTTGTATATAAACAGATAAAATACAATATGAATAAAGTGTACTTGCTAATATTTAGATATAGAATTGAGAAAAGTGCTTTCACTGTATTATTTTTATTTAGTGTCATTTATAAGACTTACTAGGAATCTTTATTTCTTCAGGCTCACCAAAACTTGAAATAATTATATATTTATTATATAGGCATATATTTAGAAGCTTGCTTTTTCTTGGTACTAGTTATAACAGTTTATTTCCTCAGAGATATACATATTAAAATACCCCTAAATGTATTTTTCCAGGGCATAAAACAGATTCCTTTGTTGGACTAATGGGCAAAAGAGCTTTAAATTCTGGTATGTATAAAACCATGACTGCAAATAAACAGTACCTTAAATCTACTTCTATTTTCTCTAAGGCATTCTTTTCAAAGTATTAAACAGGAATAATAAAACTAAAATTAGTATTTATGTTGAAAAAATCTAATTGCACTAAATAAATCCAAGAATGGATTTATAGATGATTGAGCTAATATCACCACAATATCAATCTATCCTTCTCAAACTCCCAGTGTCTGCCGCATCTAATCATTACCTAACCTGAATCTTTGGGCTAGTCTAATACCCTTTCCCTTACATCTGTTCAATAAGCCACATTTAACCTTACTGAACTAAGGGGGATGGAGGATGGGGGAGATAAGACCGATAATTTTACTTGTTACCAAGGTAATTGGAAAGTCTTACAAAAGGTTAAATCTGACAGTCTTCCAACACAAAAATAAATAAATAAAAACAAACAAATCCATTTTTACAAATCACTTGCTCTTAATGATATTATAGAAGCTCAAACTCTAAACCTCCTGGTGAATGTTTAAGACTAGGAGAGTAACATAGTCTGTTCCAATGCCTTCAAAAATGAACACAATCAAATTATCCTAAAGGGTTATAATCAGTTCTGGCTATAAAACCCTTAAAGAGAAGGAATGCCACAATTCTTCTCATAACCCAGTTTAAGTCTGAACAACTCTTTCACTTGATGTAAAGCCTGCATATTTCCTTTCTTTTCTTTAATTTCTATCTTCTATGTAAATTCCATATGCATATATCTGAAAACTCTAATTTCTTAACTCATTCATCACAGTATTTTTTTTTTTTTTTTTTTTTTTTGTACGCCGGCCTCTCACTGTTTTGGCCTCTCCCGTTGCAGAGCACAGGCTCCGGACACGCAGGCTCAGCGGCCATGGCTCATGGGCCCAGCCGCCCCGTGGCATGTGGGATCTTCCCGGACCGGGGCACGAACCCGTGTCCCCTGCATCAGCAGGCGGACTCTCAACCACTGCACCACCAGGGAAGCCCCCATAACAGTATTTTTAAGGTTAAATAACCCCTGTATCATTTTCATAGAAACTGATATTTTGTTAAGCTCATTCAGGCCTTATAGTTCATAGTTTTAATTTGAAACTATTCAAATTCTCTTTATTTTACCTTCAGTGAAATTAGAATTAAAATCCTAATCATGTAATTAATTAGAAAGTAATCATCACCTGTCTTATCCATTTAGAATATTTCTGGTTTCCTGAAAATCTGTAAGTAAGATATGCTGGCTTAATTAATCTGAAAAAGTCATGCAAAAATGAGGTATCCTAGTATTTTTTTTTAAATTTCATTTTATTTTTGGCTGTATTGGGCCCTCGTTGCAGCACGCAGGCTTTCTCTAATTGCGGTGAGCAGGGTTACTCTTCGTTGCGGTGCACAGGCTTCTCATTGCGGTGGCTTTTCTTTTTGCGGAGCACAGGCTCTAGACGCACGGGGCTTCAGTAGTTGTGGCTTGAGGGCTCTAGAGCGCAGGCTCAGTAGTTCTGTCAACCCCTGGGCGTGTGGTATCTTCGCGGAACAGGGATCGAACCTATGTCCCATGCATTGGCAGGCGGATTCTTAACCACTGCGCCACCAGGGAAGTCCAAGGTATCCTCCTATTTATATTGGTTCTCTACCTTCCAGATTTAGACACTACATTTATATTTCTTCGTCAGTAATTTGGAGGCTTCTCAAGTTTAAATTTTAAAGAAGTTACCAGTGTACCTAATGAAAAACTAAAGTTGTTTTATTAGTATGTATTATCTTCCAGCTTTTGGAAATGGAATATAAGTTTAAACCACACTGGCTTTATTTGTATCAGAAGTGTACACTAGCCCTTATATACCTGTGGTTTTCTTGATAATCACACCAGTCAACAACTTTCCATTTTCAGAATTGATAAAAGGTTTCAGAACATGCTTAACTTTACAAATAATATAGATATGTGCAATTTGAACAAATTAGATGCTATTAAATGTACTTAAAATAATATAATTATAGATAATATTAAATAGAATCACTGTATGAATCAGAGTCAATTTATGACTAAATCTTTGCTCCTCCATTTTAGTTAAGAAAATATAAAAGGAAAAAATGGGCAAGCATGTAATTTATACCCAGTCGGGTACCTTTTCATATAATCAGTTGAAGCAAGGTTATCATAGACATCTTCTACAGCCATTCGATCCTTACCCTGTTGTGGTCACAGACCCCTTTGACAATCTGAGTAATCTAGAAAGTGTCTTCCCAGAGAAACCCTTATCAGCTCATACACACAAACATTTACATATGGTTTTAGAGGGTTCAAGGACCAGGTAAGAAACTCTGCTTCCAATTAAGAGAACATTGTATTTCAGCTCAATCACTAATGTCTTTGGTTAGTTTACATTCGCATTCCCTTCCCTTCTCTGAGGAACAACATTATGTTACCGAAAGCTTGTCAGGAACTGAACTTGTGCTGATCACCCTCCTCCTCCTACAAACAAACCAGGGTCAGAAATGGACTGTTTCTTTCCTTCAGAACTGCCAAGATTGGGCCTCAGACTATTCCACCCCAGAAGTGTGTGCATGATTGACATAAAACATTCTCCTTATTGTTAAGCTCACTTAAGGGAATCTTGGATGCTAATGAGAACCTGCTCAGTGGTAAAAGGGGAAAGTGATAACACTGGAGGCTTCACCTACCTACTCTTTCATCATATCCTTCTCACTGAGAAAATTGTTTAAAGTGGAACCTATGATTCCTACATGTCTTTCACAATTCTTTCTACTATTTCTATTTAAATTCAGTATTTTATACATGCATACTGAATTTTTAAAAGCGCAGTAGTTTGACTACAATGTAAATCTAAGCGTATAAAGTATTAGATAAAATGATGAAAATATATACTTAAGTATTTTGATCACAGCAATCTGATCCTTACCCTTTTGTGGCTGCAGACCCCTTTGAAATTATATTTAATAATATAATATAATATAATATAATATAATGTAATTTGGTACTTTTTTCTGTCCATATAGTCAAAGTACTTAAGTTACTTGCTAGCTATATGTTAAATACCTTTGGAAGCAGTGATTAATCTTTCACAGGCCATTAGGGTGCTAGGAGGTAAGTTAAACTATGTTGTATTTAGATGGCTCAGTTGCCCTACTTATAGACAATGAGATTGTTTTTAGTCTCAAGGACAATGTATCATTGGGAGGAATCCACAAGATAGGAAGAGACCCTCACACCATTAGGTACCCTTATACCAGAAATCAGCAAACTTATTCTGTAAGAGCCAGATAGTAAACATTTTAGACTATGTGAGCCATGCAGTCTCTGTAGCAACTACTCAGGTCTTCCATTTTAATGTTAAAGTAGGCATAGACAATACATAAATTAATGGGTGTGGTCATGTTCCAATAAAACATTATTTACAAGAAAAGATAGTGGGCTGGATTTGGTCCATGGCCTGTAGTTGGTTGACTCTGTCCTAGAATAAAAGTCCCACATTTTGCTTTCATCCTCCTACTATTCCTGTTTACTTTAGGCATTGTCCTTTCTATAAATCACCATGGTGTCCGCCACTGCTTAAGAAAGCTGTGGAGAATCAATGTTGCAGTATACTGTGGAAATACACTTTGGGGGCACCAAGTCTATGAGGATGACCAAAATAACCAAGAATTCTGTGGACAGATCACTTCCAATCAGGATAAAGACTGAGGCCCGATTGGAAGATGTGCAAATAAGACTCTTAGAAATACTTCAATGGAGTGAAAAGAGTAATTATGAGTTTAAAATAAATTTCTGTATGCCTTGAACTTTGTTTAACTGTGTCAGTGAATCTTCTTAACAAACCCTTTACCTTATCTTTGTTCTCAGTGGCTTATGAAAGGAGTGCAATGCAGAATTATGAAAGAAGACATAAATAAACTACCTAATGTATTATTCATTGAGCTTCATTTGTGTCAATGGCCAAGGCAAGATAAAATGAGACATGCGCTATGAGGAATAATTATTTATTTAATAATAATTGTTGTTTTGAGTTGAAAACTCAAAAAGTATTTATTTTTCATATTGTGCCAATATGTGTTGTAAAAGCGTGTTGTAATTCTAATATGACAACTCGCTCAGAAGTAGAAGTCAGTGGTAATTTCTCAACAAAGCACAGTATTCAATGAAGTTGTAAAAGCCTATCAGAGCTATAGTCTCCAAAGAAAGAAACCATTTCTCTTTGTTGGCAGCAGTCACATCAGCTACTACTAAAGAAAGGAAACTCACAGATAGGCTGAGCTTCTCCGTTTGTTTTCGTGGTGAAAGTGTACTGAGACTTGATACCAAACTGTGTTTGTATCCCTGCAGCATGTTTCATCTTTTGTGACTATATAGAGATGTTTTAAAAGTTTTAATGTGATTCTAAGGTCTTTATTTTATTGTACAATGTGTTGTGATAGTTTACATTTTAAATAAAAGAAAAAAATATCTTGAGAATTGGGTCTTATTCTTTCATTAACATTTATGTCAAATCAGCAACCTTTCTTTTAGTAGATGAAATATGTTCCAAGCTGTTTTTGGCTGCTAAATACTGAAACAGAAAACTACTAAATCTCTCTTTCTTAAGGAAAATGACCAAAATGTAATCCCAGTTTCTCTCACACACACACTTTTGGCACAGGATCATTCATGGAGAAAACAATTACATTCTGGTCCCCAAAACAGTTAAGGCTCAATTCTGTTTATATGTGCTTATGATTCCCTTTTATACATAGGATAATCTATTTCAAAGATGCATTTCATTGGTTATTTCTTTGTTGTGCAAAACATCAGCACACTACCATTTCAGCAGTGTTTAAAGCCCAGGAATAAATGCAGCAGCGTTTGAGTCTCACTAGAATCAAGACACCAAACCAAACTCTCACAAAGGTCACTGGAGAATGATACAGAAAGATAGAGAGCTGATAATATGGCATCACCCCCATAACAAAGATAAGAGCCTCTTTCTTGCATATCTAAGGACTGCCTGTGAATTGCTAGTGCCCTTAACACTCCAGCAGAAGCACGTGTATCAGAAATAGAGGGCAATCAGAGGGAAGCTCTTGTGTATTTATTTAAGGGGAAGCATTGCTAAGTGTCCTTGGAATCATCTTCTGATTGCATAAGAGAGTGTGAAATATTGACAAGTGGTAAAACAACTCAGGACAAGCATTGCTCAGTGAAATAAAACTCTGTGAGTTTATTCCGGACTGGTGACTGTTGTTGATCAACGTTAAAACCACTTGTGGGGGGCTTCCCTGGCGGCTCAGTGGTTGAGAGTCCGCCTGCCGATGCAGGGGACACGGGTTCGTGCCCCGGTCCGGGAAGATCCCACATGCCGCGGAGCAGCTGGGCCCGTGAGCCATGGCCGCTGAGCCTGCGCGTCTGGAGCCTGTGCTCCGCAACGGGAGAGGCCACAACAGTGAGGCCCGCGTACCGCAAAAACAAACAAACAAACACTTGTGGGACAGGAGCGCTAAAGCATATTTTAATCTTTATATATTTAAATGAATAATTTGTTCAAAAAACTCCAATGAACTAATTTTCCTTCTTACACAATACATTTAAATGCTACAAATTATATTATGATAAGCCAAAAGGAGAAAATCAGAGTCACCTAGAACCCCATTCCCCAACGGTAATGTTTGATGTTCTATTTAATAATAACAATAATTGCAACATAGAATCATCATCATAATAACAGCTTCATAATATATATTTAATCACTCATTGAAGGAAGTATTATTATTATCATCATTTTACATTTGAGGATATGAAGCTCAAAGAAATGTTGGGGTCGGAGATTATAATATGAGAGGAGTCAGGATTAGAAGGGAATTATTAGGCAGAAATAACAATGAGATTGATGAAGCAAACTGGCATAGTGACAGAACTGAATACTATGACATCACTTAAAATGGCATTATGGTGTGTTTAGTGACATGAAACAACATATATGGTATGTTTTTAGGCACAAAGCAGTATTTCTGCATTGTATGTACATATATTTTTCTGCATAGGTGTTTCACCAGGAAGGAACCATGTAATGGATAAGAGTGCGGGGTTCGGAGTCAAACTACTCCATCACTTAATGGCTGTGTGATGATGGGCAAGTCCCTTAACTTCTTTCTGCCTTGTTTTCATCATCAGTAAAACTGGACTAATGGTGCTGTCCACTACTATCATACACCACTCTACACAGTGGACAGTAGCCAGGTGGAGCCTAGGTGAGGGTCATGGGACGTGATGCATGTCAAGCTTTGAGCACCATCTCTGACACACAGCAAGCATTCTGTGAATGTTACCTGATGCCATTGTGAGCTACTCTCCAAAATCCCCAAAGAGAAAATTAGCACTATATGATAGCCACTAAAATGGTTTTTATAGACACACTAAAGAAGTGGTAGCAGCATGGGTAGTTTCTAAATAGTTACCACACAAATTAAATCTGGGGCCATCTCACAAATAGAGTGGCGCCTTGTGCTGTGCATCACTGCACTAGACAGTCCCCACAGCCCCATCCCTCTCTGAGATTCTATAAATCTCTGCAGCAGGATTGAACAGTGCTGGGTGAAGACCATTGTCTGCCAGGCCACACCCCTGTCTGCTCTCCCTCCCGGCCCAGAAACCTAGCAACCGCTGAGCAGGAAAGAGAGTGACTTCAACTTGAAGTTTGTACTCATGAAATATTTATTGTTACTTCCCCTCTGTGGCATACTTCCTTCAACTAAAATGAGTTTTCTTCACCTATATTCTTTCTAAAATACTTTTACTCTGTTACAAAACAGCAAAAAGATCAATCTGTATAGTTAAGTTACCACAATATTGCTTTGGCTTGGGGTTTGTTTTTTGATTTTGGTTTTGTTTTGGTCAGGATCCAGAGCAAAAATAAATGACACTCAGGCTGAGTCATTAGAGGAAGATTTAATAAAGGGACTAATCACAAAGGTGTGGGCAGGATGTAGAGAAGCCAGCAAAGGAATGTGGTCTCCAGGCTAACATCCTTGGAGCCACTGTGATCCCTAGGCCTGAGGGATCAAGATGAGGAAGTGAGGGTCTCTGTGTGCCAAGGGCCACCTGGCAGCTGTTGTCTTCATGGGAGGATGAACCAACACAGGATAATCAGTATGGGGGAGAGAGTGGGGAGGTCAGTGTATAAATGCCCCAACCTCAATCTCCTCCCCCTGTCTGAACTGCTCTTGTTGCCTCCATTGGGTAAACCCACCCAGAAAACAAAGGGCTCAGAGCTCTGGGTGCTGTCCACACTGGAAAGCTGCACAGACAGGGCACCAAAGCTGGTGGAGAAAGCTGGTGAGCACATTGGGAGGTGGAAAAGGAAGATGCTCAATACATCAAGTATCCCCTTATTTTGAATCAAAAGGAAACTCATAAGCAGAAATTCAAATAGAGAAATGTAGAGAGTAAAAATAAAAGTCCTTATCTGAACACCAATTCTACTCCCGAAGGATATAGTTTCATGTGGATCCATCAAAAGAAACAAACAAAATTAATCTTATTTCAACTTGAGCACATGCTGAAATCTCCCCTTTTAACACCAAATCATTATAAGAATTTTTAAAAGGTACATACATTTTTAAAAGAAATTAATAATTACATTGGGATTTGTGAAAAACAGAGAAAGGACTTTTGGTGGACCAGAAATTACACAGTTTCTGGAAAAAGAAAGCACAGGGAAGCCACAGCTGTAAGCCATGGTCCTGGCAGGAAAAAGAGACTGCAAAGGAAGGTGCTAACCCCAGAATAGGGAATTGACCACTGCAGAACGGACTTCTCATCAGCAATACTGGGTGCCATGAGGTCCAAAAACAAAATCTAAAGGTTCTTAAGGAAAATAATATTCAGCCAAATTATGAATTTGTGAAAGAAGAAAAACCACCTAAAAGCTGTTAGCTTAAGCCTTTATTAAAACCATCACAACAGGTGAATTGCTCAAGATGGCTGTTCTGCAGGAGAGCAGATAGCCTAAAGAATTCACATGTTAGATTGATGAAGGTCAGTCAAAGTTCCACTACTTGCAGAACTATTGTCAAAACAATTCTGAGAATTGTTCACAGTTCTGATTCTCGGAAGTTATAGGGAACTTAACGCTGCATTAGTCATGGGACAGGATTTAATAAGACCAACCTAACCCTAAAGACTTCACCACAAAACTGTTAGAACTAACAAATTCAGTAAAGTTGCAGAATACAAAATCAACATACAAAAATAACCTTGTATTTCTATATAATAACAACTATTCTGCTGAAAAAGAAATAAAGAAAACAATCCCATTTACAATAGCATCAAAAACAATTAAATACTTAGGAAGAAATTTAACCAAGTAAGCAAAAGATCTGTACGCTGAAAATTATAAAGCACTAATGAAAAAAACTGAAGAAGATACAAATAAATGGGGAAAGAGTCTGTGCTCATGGATTGGAATAATTAATATTGTTAAAATATCCATACTACCCAAAGTGATTTACACATTCAAGGTAATCCCTATCGAAATTCCAAGGGCACTTTTCACAGAAATGTGAAAACAATCCGAAAATGTGTATGGAACCACAAAAGACCCCAAATAGCCAAAGAAATCTGGAGAAAGAAGAACAAAGCTGGAGGCATCATACTTCCTGATTTCCAACTATATTACAAAACTGTAGTATTCAAAACAATATAATGCCAGCACAAAAACAGATACGTAGACCAATGGAACAGAATCGAGAGCCCAGAAAGAAATCCACACACATAGTCAACTAATATTTGACAAGGAAGCCAAGGATACTCAATGGAGAAAGGATAGTCTCTTCAATAAATAGTGCTGGGTAAACTGGATACTCACGACCAAAAAAATGAAATTGGACACCTATCTTACACCTCTCACAAAAAATAACTTGTAATGGATTAAAGACTTAAATGTAAGACCTCGAACCATAAAACTCCTAGAAGAAAACATAGGGAAAAATCTCCTTGACATTGGTCTTGGCAATGATTTTTGGATATGACACCAAAAGCACAAGCAGCAAAAGCAAAAATCAACAATTGGAATTACATCAAACTTATCAACAAAATGAAAAGGCAGCCTGTGAAATGGGAGAAAACATTTGCAAATTATGTATCTGATAAGGGGTTGATATCCAAAATACATAAAGAACTCATAAAACTCAATAGCAAAAAAATAAAATACAAAACAAAACAAACAAACAAAAACCAAATGATACAATTTAAAAATGGGCAGAGGACCTGAATAGTCATTTTTCCAAACAAAGCATACAGATGGCCAACAGGTACATGAAAAGATGCTCAACATCACTAATCATCAGTGAAATGCAAATCAAAACCGCAATGAGATATCACCTCACACCCGTTAGAATGGCTGTCGTCAAAAAGACAAGAGATAACAAGTGTTGGCTAGGATGCAGAGAATAGGGAACCCTTGTACACTGTTGGTGGGAAGGCAGTTGTTGGGGCAAAAATTATGGGAAGAAATTAAAAGCTAAAGAGAGAGAGAAATAAACCCCAAATTGACAACTCCTCAAATAGGAGAGAATGTACCTCAATAGGGGACATTTTCAGCAGGTATTACATTCCGTCAATTCCCTAAACTTTGTATTAATCTCGATTCTTTAAAATATTTTCCAGTGTAATCTTCTTCCTCAAAGCTAGTTTACGTACATGTAAGAAAACTATTTTCTAAAATAAACCAAAGTATGGAGTTAATTTCTAATCTTTATTGAGTCATTATTTTGCATAAA